GCAACTTGATTACTAATCCAGCGTATCCTTATTAACTTTCCCAGCAAAACGAACAACTATCCAGGACCAAAGTGCTTCAACTGAAAGTACTTCAATGCTTAAGTTAGTAATGAAATGATACAAGAATACTTGTAGAGAAGATTGTGCATACCTTTTATTGTGTATCCTCAGTCCTTTAAATAATTTTATTCCTTCTTCTAGGGTTCCCATTATTGACGAGGCAAGGTGGTACATCCCTCATCATTCTCGGATGTTGGTTAAGGATTGTTGGAATCTCCCTAGACGCTCCTCCAATTACCTAGCTATTTGTAGTCGTGGATCATGTTGATTCATAGTACTGAAATTTCCTTGATTGTAGGCGCTTCCTTATGATTCAGTTAGAGCCATATTTGGATTAAAGCTCGACCTTGTAAATCGAATGCCTTCCTATCGTTACCGAGGATCTTTGTAGCTCGGTTTGGCATTATGAACCGAGCTTGCCTAGTTTGGTTTGGCTTCAGCCTCACTATTTCTCTTTTTGGGACCCATGTGACCTATTCCATCGTGTCCACGAGAGTAAATTATTTATTTGTATACGTGGTATGATTTTATGCCATTTCAGATCTGAATATATATGGGCATAAATCTGAGATCTGTTCATAGATTTGTGTGTGGGTCTGCATTGGTGTGTGTGAGTGTGTGTCTGATGAGGCTGTGTGCGTGTTGGGGGGGTTTGACTTATTGGCTATACAGTAGCTGACAAGCTATTGCTGGAGGGAGAAATTTCCCCTAGTTCTATTGATGCCTTAATCGACTAAGATCAATATGCAGTTGCGAAGGATTCTTTTAAAAAGGAACAATAGGATGAAAATAAGCCCTTCACACTCAGAATTATGANCCTAGTTCTACTGATGCCTTAATCGACTAAGATCAATATGCAGTTGCGAAGGATTCTTTTAAAAAGGAACAATAGGATGAAAATAAGCCCTTCACGCTCAGAATTATGATTGTTCAGTACTTGCATCTATAATAACTACTTATGTACATCTTTTTCATATTTTTTCAGTTCATTAGTTTACAGTAGGGAGATGCATATGCAGTATCAAAGAAAACACATTCACTTTATTACTATGTTATGAATCTGTTTTTTGCTATATATTTAGTTCAATTTTGTTGCTTTGGAACAATATTGTTCACTTTTTTTTTGCTGTATATTCACTTCAAATTTTTTGCTTCATAGTGAATCATTATTGTTCAATTTGTTTGCTATTTTTTTGTGGGCCTAATTGGGATTTAGGATTGTGTTGAATTGGAATTGTGTATCCAATGTATTGTCCATGTCATAAGCACGTGAGACATTCCGTCCAAAAATTTAACGGTTGTTGACTGAAATGTTTAATTGCTAAAATTTTAGATTTTATGAGCTCAATTGGCAAGAAAATTAGTTTAGGGGCTTAATTACAAAAATTTTAGAGTTTAGAGGCTCAATTGACATAAAAATTAGTTCAGGAACTTAATTGATACAAGGATGATAGTTTAATGGTCATTCATATAGTTTTCTCTAAAATTATCGTAACTTTTTTTTATCTTTTTTGAATTAACTACATAGACTAGAAAGTTGACACCTCAACAGAAAAATATTGAGTGTAACTGTTACACCACGTTAGCAGTATTACGTGGTGTAACTGTCCACTAACAAGTAAAGAAGTTTGCAAGTGTGCCCCACAAAAATTTGTAATTACTCAATCATGTAATACATTGTCACCTCCATGATAAGAAGTGAGCCCCACTTTATCTAAATTGTAATATCTTTCATTGAATTTTTACACTATATCAATATTATTGACATGATATAACTATTACACCTGATATTTACTCCATGATCTCATTTTACGTCATCTATCTTAGCCTGCGACTTTGAGTCTTGACTAATTGGTCTTTTGGCTACCCATTGCACTTGTGAGAGTCTTGACCACTTGATACTAAACTTTTGTTGATTTTTTTTGGAAAGTGTATACAGATTATCATTTAACTAGTAAGAGCGGGAGTATTTCACCTGGAAGTGTGTGTTTTTAAGTCTAGCCATAGCCACCCATTGAAAGCTGCTCTGTTAATAAGATGGGGCTGATAAAAAAAAATTAAGATTCAGTAATCTAGCTAGTATTAATCTAATGTCAAACTACCATAAAACTATCTACCATGGAGTGGGCACACTAAACTTTTGTTGATTGGAGAGGAAAATACTTTGGATCCCAAATGTCTAGGGACACTCGATGGAAAATCATTTTTATCAGAACAAAGTGGCTATCATGTCCTATGTGATTGTCACCTATGATGCTACCACCATAACCTATAAATCTTCGTTTATGATAAAAAGTGAATTTTTGACACAGAAATTTCCACATATTGTAACTTACTGTAATTTGTTGAGGTGTAATTTTGCATGTATACGAGTGTTCTTCATCAACAAATAGCAACAAGTCTTTGACACTTAAACTAGGAAATCGCAGCTTCATCCCTTTAAAAAGTGAAATAATAAATTTTACAAAGAATTTTGTACCTTTGGATCAAAGTGAACAATAATTAGATAGTACTTGAAACTGTGCCACCACCACCACTACTACAACCCCCACCACCATCACCATTACCACCACCACCACCATCACCACTACCACCACCTCCTGTCGCCCTACCACCACCACCACCACCACTGCCACCATCATCACTACCACCACCACCACTACCATCGCCGTCACCACACCACCATTTCTGCAACAAAAACCACTACCACCACCCACACTTTTGCCACCCCACCACCACCACTACCACCATCATCACTACTACCACCACCACTACCATCGCTGCCACCACACCACCATTTCTGCCACAAAAACCACTACCACCACCACCACCACCATCATTGTTGACACCCTACCACCACCACTGCACCCACAACCCCACCACCACTATCACCACTACCACCCCCCATCGTCCACCACCATCTCTTCCACAACAACCGTCACCACTGCCCAATTACAAAACCATCCCCATTACCATCACCCCCACCACCACCACCACCGCTGTCGTCACCTTACCACTACTATCACTACCCTACCATCACCCCTACCACCCCCCACCCCCCACTGCCCCACCACCACCACCATCACCATCACCATTGCCACCCACAGTTGCCACCATCACAATCGGTTGTCATCACCTATAATAACCATCACTATCTCCCAACCACCACCACTCGCCTCCCACTACAATTGGTGTTTAAAATCCTTTCTCTTTCCTCTATATTTGTAATTTGATTTTAAGTGTAAATATAAATATGCTTATTGTTGATCATTTTTTATTATTCCGTGCCTTCAAACATGTGAAATAACTAGTACTTAAATATGGGTAAAAAAATAATTTACATAACTCTTAATCACATTTTTATCCAAAATTTGGTCAAATAACTACCTAAATTACACAATTTTGATCATGAGCTATCAAATTTTAGTCAAACTAATCATATTACACATTTTTTTGTCAAGAGACCCAAATTACTTTTTGTCCATATTTAGGTATCACATGATAAGTTTATGATAAAAAATCGTTAGCAATTTGAATGTTTAAAGCACTTGTAATCCACGTGTTTTAATATATGATGGATAATTGAGCAGTAGTCTGAATGAGATTCACATTGCTACCAATTCATAATATTTTGGGTGAAAATTAAGATTTTTAATGTTTGAGAGTGTAAATTAAAAATCAAAACATCTTTTGGGGTGCAATATGAAATGAACCCTTATCTATACCTATTATATAAAACATAACAGACTTCAATAAATTTATCCGACCATCTTAAATATACTCATCTAACGTTTAAATTCATTTACATTGAATTTCTCCCTTTCTCCCAAAATTTATTATTTCTCACTTACGTTGTATCGCACATTTGAACACGGGTTACCCCAAGTTTAACCAAAAAAAGATAACCGTTAAATTTTATTTTCCAGCTCATTTACTCTTCTTACTTTAAACTACTAAATTTATTTAATCTATACTCACCTTATTAATTACTAAACCCACTCCATCTATATTCACTAATTAAAAAATAAATTCATTCAATTTTATTTCAACCTACTATGTAGATAACAATCAAAATTTCATTTTGGTGTATTATTTCGGTGCAAAAATATTTCATAAGTAGAATAAACATTAATAATTATTTTTAAAATATTAATCAAAATATACCAAAATATTTCAAATACATTAGTGAAAAATATATCAAAATAATATAGATTACCTCGTAATATTGAAATTTTGTTTTGTTTTTTTTGATATATATTAATAATTTAATTAAATGAGTATAAATAAGGTGAACTTAATAACTAATGGGGTGAAAATAAATGCGATGAATTTAATAATTTAAAATAAAATAGTTAAATTTGGTGAAAAAAGAGATTTAAGGGGTGGAAAAAATATTTAAGGGTGCTACCAACCACAAGGGTATTGCATCTTAAATGCAAAGGGGCGTCCTTTTTCATTGTTCTTCACAAGGGCTAGGGCAAGGAAGCATCTTTTTCGTTCTTCTTCTCGGCGGGTATTCTGATTATATTTACATATCAAAATATCTATGCTCTCTCTCCCTCTCTCTTATATATATTTATGTATCTGTATATCTGTGTGTGGCGTTGTGTATCTGTCTTTCTTTGACTCAATGCTGTTCAATCGCTGTTGACACTGAATATAGGTATGCTCCTTAGGTAATGTATTACACAAGAGCAGGAGGACCAAGGCGTGCCTATTGTCATCTCTATAATTATTGTACGGTGAAATTTTGTAGTTCATCAGCGAATTTAATCTATTCTCATTGAAACAAGGTACTCTTTCTATCTGCCACTTTGATGTTTCTTCATAAGCTCCATCTTTTTTTTTTTATTTTTGGTAAAACAAACTTACAAAGTCTTAATTTGTTGCTATTGCTAGCAGAGATATTTATTTTTTATTTATTTGTGGACTGTTTATCAATGGGGAAAAAGATTCGACATGTCCCACGACAAGTGCAAAATAAGGTAATTTTTTTATTTAAATTTGCTCTGTTTCTTTTTTCTAACTGAAAAGTTCACTTCTTGGTGTGTTATACTACTTGCTGGGCAATTGAATTGTTGGTCTAGCTATTGTATTATTGAATTGTTGGATGGGTTTGAAGTTCAATTTACTACTGCAATGAACTAGGCTAACTTGGTCGGTATATTAATGATTTATGATTTAAAGTTGTAATTTTTTCTCCATTGTTTGTTAATTTGAGGTGATGTGCTAAATTAATTCATCATTTACTAAGTTCTCCATCTCCAATCTCCATCAACTTTTTATTTAAAGTTATAATTTTTTTCTACATTGTTTGTTAATTTGAGATGATGTGCTAAATTAATTCATCATTTACTAAGTTCTCCATCTCCATCAACTTTTTTTGGGACCAGGATGACCATAATTTCGAGGATTGGATTAGTCTGTTACCCGATGAAGTTCTCATTCTTATACTATCCTTATTGAGTGTCAAGGAAGCAGCAGTTACCAGTATCCTTTCAAGGAGATGGAGATACGTCTGGGAATCTATCACACGTCTCGACTTTGATGCTAAGGAAGCATTAGTAAAGATTGACAGGAATCATAATGATAGGGATTTTCTTGAGATTGAAAGGCGTAAATACGTCAATTGGGTGAATCAAGTTGTTCGATTGCACAAGGGTCAAACCATTGAAGAATTCAGGGTTTCTTTTGATTTGGGCAACAGTTCCAAATGGGATATTGATAAGTGGCTTAAGTTTGTATTAACGAGGAGGGTTTACCAGCTTTCGCTAGACTTGTCAATGGATGCTGATCGTCGAGGCATACGCCATTTTGAAAAGCCTTATACTTTTTCAGCTGACATATTGAATGAGATTAAAGCGACTTCTTTTGAAAACTTGTCTTCAAAATATTCCATTATGCGCCATTGCTCATTTATGGGCTTTAGATGTCTTAAAGCGCTCTGTTTCAGATGTGTGAATGTAAGTGGAGACGTTCTCGAGTGCTTTTTATCGGACTGCCCAGTTCTTGAGCGATTATATGTCCGTAGTTCGCCAAAACTGGTACATTTCAAAGTTGCTGGGAGTGGGCCACCTCTTGNTTTTTTTTTTTATTTTTGGTAAAACAAACTTACAAAGTCTTAATTTGTTGCTATTGCTAGCAGAGATATTTATTTTTTATTTATTTGTGGACTGTTTATCAATGGGGAAAAAGATTCGACATGTCCCACGACAAGTGCAAAATAAGGTAATTTTTTTATTTAAATTTGCTCTGTTTCTTTTTTCTAACTGAAAAGTTCACTTCTTGGTGTGTTATACTACTTGCTGGGCAATTGAATTGTTGGTCTAGCTATTGTATTATTGAATTGTTGGATGGGTTTGAAGTTCAATTTACTACTGCAATGAACTAGGCTAACTTGGTCGGTATATTAATGATTTATGATTTAAAGTTGTAATTTTTTCTCCATTGTTTGTTAATTTGAGGTGATGTGCTAAATTAATTCATCATTTACTAAGTTCTCCATCTCCAATCTCCATCAACTTTTTATTTAAAGTTATAATTTTTTTCTACATTGTTTGTTAATTTGAGATGATGTGCTAAATTAATTCATCATTTACTAAGTTCTCCATCTCCATCAACTTTTTTTGGGACCAGGATGACCATAATTTCGAGGATTGGATTAGTCTGTTACCCGATGAAGTTCTCATTCTTATACTATCCTTATTGAGTGTCAAGGAAGCAGCAGTTACCAGTATCCTTTCAAGGAGATGGAGATACGTCTGGGAATCTATCACACGTCTCGACTTTGATGCTAAGGAAGCATTAGTAAAGATTGACAGGAATCATAATGATAGGGATTTTCTTGAGATTGAAAGGCGTAAATACGTCAATTGGGTGAATCAAGTTGTTCGATTGCACAAGGGTCAAACCATTGAAGAATTCAGGGTTTCTTTTGATTTGGGCAACAGTTCCAAATGGGATATTGATAAGTGGCTTAAGTTTGTATTAACGAGGAGGGTTTACCAGCTTTCGCTAGACTTGTCAATGGATGCTGATCGTCGAGGCATACGCCATTTTGAAAAGCCTTATACTTTTTCAGCTGACATATTGAATGAGATTAAAGCGACTTCTTTTGAAAACTTGTCTTCAAAATATTCCATTATGCGCCATTGCTCATTTATGGGCTTTAGATGTCTTAAAGCGCTCTGTTTCAGATGTGTGAATGTAAGTGGAGACGTTCTCGAGTGCTTTTTATCGGACTGCCCAGTTCTTGAGCGATTATATGTCCGTAGTTCGCCAAAACTGGTACATTTCAAAGTTGCTGGGAGTGGGCCACCTCTTGTGTTGAAGTACTTGGAAATATGCTGCTGCCTAAACATCAAGTCCATGGTGATCAGCAATGTGAATCTTGTTGCTTTGATATATAAGGGACATAAAATAAGGTTGCTTCTCGAGAATGTTCCCCTTCTTGTTGAGTTATCTATTAGTGGGTTGGTTTCTAATTCCTTGAATAAGTTTTTCCCTCGGCTGTCATGCTGCCTTTCTCAGCTACAGACTTTAAAATTGAATGCCCCTATGTATGAGGTTAGCATGTGCAATTGTGATGTGTTTGCTTTATATTTTGATTATCTGGCTGTTGGTGCCTTATTCTTGGTTCTTTTTTTCAGGAATTTTCAGGGTTTCTCATGTCTCGTGAGTTGAGTAGTCTCAAAACGTTTGTATTGCATTCTATGGCTCTTGATGATCGTTGCCTGCTTGGATATGCTTCACTGATAAAGGCATCTCCAATCTTGAAGAAATTTGTGTTACAGGTGATATTTTTGCTTCACATAATATCCTTAAACTTCATTTCAACTGTGTACTCTTCATCATAGAACAAAATGCATGAAAATCTTATATTATGCATTAATTGCATTTGACCATAGACCAATAGTTCCTGGTTTTTTCCTCCAAAAAATGTCAAGATAGGAGGGATTTCAAGGTCTTGCAAGTGTTATCTACCCCCAAATGAGCGAATTATCTGCATCTCAATGTATGTTCATGGAAACAGGTGCATGGTGTGACATATATCATATTCAAACCACTGCTTACCTACATGTACATTTTACCCCGGAGTGGCTCCACAGTATATGTTATTCGTAGACATTCCCTAATTGCGCTCTCTCTCTAGCTTATGGTCTGGCTAGGCTTTTTCCAAACTGAACATCAATTATTTGATTTGGTGATTTTTTTATTGATTTGTTTCCAAGCATAAATGCTTTTAAAGATAGTGTTATACCACTATGGAGATGATCTTGTTTCTCGTCACCCGTAATCTATTGGTTTGCATTAAATTTATGTGCGTGGTGCTATGTGGAGTTGGGGAAATTGATAGTTGGTTTTTTGCATGTACGTGCTCCTCAGGTGATTTTATTGTTTCTTTGCTTGAAAGTTACAAGAGGACTGTGATTTGTTTCTTTTGAGGTGTATACACTTTTGATATCTTTTGGTGAAATATGGTGCTAAAAGATATTTGTTGATAGGAAACAGAGATGTTATGTTAATAGGAATCACAAGTACATAGAAAAGGTTGGATTTCTAGGAAAGAAAATATAGGCAAAAGAAATAAATAATAAAAAATCATCAAACACAAAAACTCCATCCTACCAAAATAGTAAACAAAGGGATTCCTTTAAAAGCCGTAGTAGCCGAGGCCCATAATGATGCTATTAATTGAATATGATCCGATAATCTAGTGACATCTTTGCTTCTATATTCGAAAATTCTTGCATTCTTCCCTTCCCAAATTCCAAAAAATGGCCATGATTACACCATTCCACCGAGTCACTCCTTTTTCACTTCTTCAAAAGCTTTGAAATCTTCAATAAACAATGAAGTGGATGACAAAGGAGGCACCCAACTCAAACCCACCAAAGAAAACAATTTATGCCATAAAGACCCCACAATAGGACAATGTAAGAATAAATGATCAATGCTCACACAATCACCTTTACACATCACACACCATTGAGGGGAAAGACAAGTTCTAGGTCTCATTTTCTGAAGAATACTATTGGTATTAATCTTACCATGTATGACAGTCCATGCGAAATCATGATAGCGGGCCAGAATAAAGGACATGAAGAATCTTCAATAATAGAGGCAAAAAAAGACTTACAAGAAAACACCTTTGACGACTCATGAAATATTGGGGGAACAATGATAAAATGAAATAGGCACCAATAGAAGATTCAACAATAATAAACCATTGTATTAAGTTGTCAAAAAGCAAATGTTAGAATATCATTCCTATTCAAAAGTTAGAAGCAATTCTGTGTGATAAACCTGACTCACTTTTTCTCTGTCTTTTCCCTTTATCTGTTTTATCAAGTCCACGACATCAATTGCTCTATTATTGAGAACACCTTGTCAATACAATTTCTCTCTTCTTTATATGCATGTTTTCTGAGAATACCATCACTACCTCCTTATTGTTGTCGATCACCACCAAAAACAAGTATTCCCCATCCCAACCATCATCTTTCAGTTGGACACTCTAAACTTATTGATCACATCCTTAATATAACGACTCACCACATCACCATAATGACGACTACATCATCTACCATCTGTTCAAAACCATTATTCCTAACCAGTATTGTTGCGTCATCTCTCTGTCTCTAAATGTGTTAATGCTCTCAAAATTTTGGACCTAACTTAATGTGAAAGTCAGCATCTTGATTGCCTCTCTATTTACTGCTGAAAAAAATGAGAAAAACTACTTCCCCTTATTTAGTGCGGATGAGGTTCTGAACTCCATCAATGAATTTTGTTTTGGATAACTGGTTGTGCGGGCGATGATTTATTGAAGGGTTGAAGTTTCAATGATTATTGTGTTCTTATGGGGTTTTAGGGTTTTTTTTTTTTTTAATTTATTTTTGATTAGCAACAAAGAATTTTGAATAGTAACTTGGAAAATCACACAAGAGACAGGTAGTCCACTTGAAAATAAAATGAAAAGGAAAAGAAAATAGAGAAAAGAATACAAGTAACGTTCATTTGGATTTCCAATTTGTCCTATTAAGGGTGATGGAACCCCACAAATTCCAAATACATCAAAAGCCCAAAAGGAAGTTAAAAAGCAAATTTTCTCTCATAAACGATCATCCTCTTCAAATTCATCTTGTGCAAATTATGGATTACAAAGATTAGGGCCCGTTTGGCAATGGTTTTGTTTTCGTCTTTTCAAAAGACAAGAAAATAGAGACAATTTTTGTCTTTATTTTGTGGTAAACACTGAAAACAGAAAACTTGTTTGGGAATCTTTAGGTGCCAAGGTAACCCACTCACTTTCACACACATACACACCCACATAGAAATCACATATACACACACTAAAATTAGGCATACACACAGAGAAATCTCACACACACACACATACACACATTGAAATCACGGACACACATACACACAGAAATCAGGCGCACACACACACACTGAAATCACATAGAAGTCAGGCACACAGAAATCACGCACACACTAAAATCACGAAGAAAGAGGGTTTCAAAGGGACAAAAAATGTGGGTATCATCTTCATCTTTGTGTGAGATTCTTCGCTTGGGTTTAATGGATTCGTCTTCATCTTCATAGTCTTCATCTTCTTCACGTGGGTTTCATGGATTTGTTATCGTCTTCATTGTCTTCATCTGGGTTCACGAAAAAGAGGTTCTTTGTCTTCGTATGAGAGATCGATCTTTGTTTGAGGGATTGATCTTCGTGGGATTGATCTTTGTCTTTATGGATTCGTTCTTCGTCGTCTGTGAGAGAGAGAGAGATGAGAGTGACGAAAAAAGAAAAAAGGGGGCAAAGGGTTTTTATAATAAGCATAAAAAAAACCCTCCTTTTGTTGCTAATGGGATTTGAATAGGGGATCTCATTAAAGGTTGTGGAGTGTGCGTGTTTTTTGTTTTTTTTGTTTCTTAGAACATCTTTTTTTTGTTTCTTGTTTTGGGCCTTTTTTTCGAAACAACTTTTTTTATATAAAACAGAAACACAAATCCAAACATGTTTTTGTTTTTGTTTTGCCCAAAAAACGAAAACAAAAACACGAAATATGAAACAAAAACACCAACCAAACAACCCCTCAATGTTCCATCCAAACTAACAAACTGTGAAAATGATTCATTTATCCTACATCAAAAAATGCCTTATTCTTTATCTGGAAAAAAATTCATCCTTGTTTCTTAATTGATCAAATATTATATACCTAAACCAACATACCTCTTCTCCTCCTTTTTGACCACTCGCCTCACTCACTCTCTCTAAGTCTCTTTCTCTACACACATAAACAAACCCCACATTGCACACACACTCTTTCTTTGTACACACACTTTGTACACATAGTATACACACATGCACTCTCTCTCTCCCTCCCTCTCTATTCATGTTACTATGGATACACACACGCGCACAAGCACACGCACACAAACAGACGCTATCGAAGATTCTACTCGTAGAAGTCTAGTCTACTTGAATAAAAAGGGCATGAGTTTTTCCAGGTTCATACTATATGCGTTTACATAAAATGGGACGTGTTGGAATTATATTCTGAATTCTTCTACAATAGTGCATTTTACTTTGGATATTAGTTAACACATGTCTTCTACTTCCGTTCATTTATTAGTCATGTAGTTTTTTTCTAGAAATTATGAAAAAAAATATAGGATAAAATTCCTTATCTGAGTGTACTAAGCAAAAATAATTCCTATTTGTAAAGAGATCCAGTTTGGAAAGAGATGCGATCTCAATTAATCAATGTTAATCAATTGAATGGATAAATACATCAAATATTTGGTGGAAAGCTTGAAATGAATTGAAAAAAAAAGAAAGTCATAACAAAAAGAAATAGTAGTGAGAACATTTGTCCTATATATGCAAAATCGAAATCGGGCGAATATTTACCTGGAGTAGAGCATAAACCTAAAAAGATTAACTAGGCCCATTTAAGAATAAGAAAATTACATCTTGATTTGGATTGGATCTCAATGAAACAATACATTAATGAGAAGTTAATTTGATAAGTTTAGTGAATTCTTTTTTTAAGGAAAGGAGTCAAAACTCGTCTTTATTGAAAAATCGAAGAAAAAGTCCTTTCGTTCGAAACTTGCTATGAAAAAGTAAGAGGGCTGGAATCTACACATTGATTTGGTTTTTTTTTTCGCAATTTTTTTTGATTCTTGCAACTTTTTCGGATTAGACACACTCAATTGCGTTGTCTTGGAGAGTGAATAGCCTAATGAAGTCTCGACTTTTCCAAGTGAAGACGAAACTAGGTAAAAGAAATATCATACATGAGAGGAGGTTTTGTATATGCTTTCTTGTAGTGAAAGGAGGGCTTTCCGAGACCAATCTGACCAACTAACAAGGATGAATCCAAATAATCGACTAATAATGTCCTGTGCTTCATCTACCGAATCACGGGAATAGAGGTCTACAGTGGAATCGCCCAGTGAAACAGAGAATCTGGTTCTTTCTCCCGAGCCACAGGCCTAGTCCTCCGTTTCAAACACATCCGTCTTAGAACCGAACGAAGCAAGCGCTGGAACAGTGCATCCAACAGTTATTTCCTCTTGACTTATTTGTTTATTCAAAAAGCTCTCATAGGCCTTGATCTCGTAGCCACTTTCGGAGATGCCTAAACTGCCAAAACATTTGCTTCTGTTTTTTCAAGCCTAACTGAACCATAAGGTTAAGTTTCTCATCTAGAACCAGCAAATCTTGGCCCTTTAATAGACTTATAAATATTCGAGTTTGAAGCAGCAGACTCAGCCATATATAGGAGTAACTTGGAGAAGAGAAAGTTAGTGATTTTTCGCAGGATCTTTAATAGAAGTAGAGCGGGGAACAGGTCTAAATCGTCAAGTTGGGATCAGTAACTAGGGCTTCCAGTCTGGAATTTCACTCGTTTGATTATCCCGTGTTTAAGAGTGGGAGTCTTTTCTAAAGAATAAAGCTCCACATTCAAAGAGGGGCGGGTGGTTATCGAGGTTTGTTGAAGTTATAGCCTAGATTATTAGGGTTTTTTTTTTACCTTTGTTTTACCTTTTTATCCTTATTATATTTTTATTGTTGACTATATATACGGAGGGCTCTACACTTAGTTTGTATCCCTTTTACATATCTCAAGTTGGTATCACAGCTTAATCTCTATCTCTAACCCTAATGCTAACCTTAATCCTAGCCTTCTTCACCTTCCCTACAACCACCAAGAACATACTACACCGACTGCCAACCAAGCCACCCAGCCTCATGCCAGAGCTTCATCCCCAACTGCCCAA